CCTACTGGTGCAAGTATATGCCCAAATTTCACAACCTCCACTATTACGAAGTTATATTCTCATATTAAGCAAATTGTTTTTTATTTTTCCTTTTTATATTTTCTTAAACATAAATATATTTTCTATCTTTTTATTTTTTTTAATTTGTTTCTTTATTTAAGTTTGTTATAGTTTGAACATCAATTTTTAAATGAAAAATATTTTAAAATTTTAGTCTTTATTTAAAGCTAATAATTTATTAAAAAAATTATATTGTAAATTATCTTTTTCTTAATGTATTATATTATCTTTTTCTCCCGACACACCAAAAAGGCGTCAGTATCGCTCACATTTACCAAATTTTATGAAAGCCACCGAGAAWAATAGACAATAGAAGAAAACATCGATTTTTTCCCAATGTTTTTTTAATAGAGTCGGAAAAGTCTTCTTTCCTGACGCCTTTTTAATAGCATCGGAAAAAGTCGGTCAGTAAAATTTTAWAACCATAACGATGATCTTTTTTTGCCCAAGTAATTTCACACCGTCCCTCATCAAATTTTTTTCTTTCTTCTCTCCTCTCTTTCTCCTCTGTGTTTGCTGGCTGTCGTTTTCGCTCGCCTCCCGCCATTGCCATTCCTTGCCTGATTCAACTGCAACTCTTCACCTTTATCCCCCTCTACTCCTTACTTGATATCGCCGTCAAGAAATAAACTTAAGAACCTCGATCTAATGGAAAACCCAGAAGCATCGACGAATCCAATTGTAAACAAAAACTAGTATCGGTATTTGGGGATGTTATYTCTAGCCGATTTAATGCTTAATTAAATACCAGTATATTGATTAACTTTGTATACAATCAACTCCATTTCATTTTTGTTTTTCTCAATTCCTTGAATTTCTTGTAACAAACTGAAATGTGGGTATTGATAATTGTAGTGAAAGTTTATTTTGGATATTTCCATTGGTTTAATTTGATGATAGGTGTTATGAATTTGCATTCCTTTGTTGTCCTATCATTGAGAGAGGAACCTTGATTTTTAGCTTAGATTATACGTTTTTATTTTCTCTCTTTCTAGTTTCTGCAACAATTTATTTATGTTAGATTTTGAAACATTCTTGAGTGATGTTTATCCTATGTTTTTATGATGTAAATTATAGCAAAGATGTTAGTTTCACAGAATATYTTATTTTTGGTGGGTTAACCTTACTCTATGAGATCAGAACAAATTCGTATGTTGGTTTGTAAACTTGTCTKGTTTCATGTAAATTTTTGTTAGACCTTTAACTTAACATATTCCGGATTGTTTAATGAACTGGATCTACACTTATTATTGATAAACTTGCAACTTTCAAATACCAATTATCGTTATTATGCACCCGTTTTTTAATTAATGCTACTCTCTGTTTAATATTTATAAAAAAAAATCAATTATCTAGCAAAATAATAAAATCTTAAAGCTCAATTTAGAATTTGGAAATAAATATTAAAGCTCAATTTAGAATTTGGACCCTCAATATTTTAAAATCATATTGGTGTTAGTCATTGTGTACTTTTTTATATTTTGGAATCCTATGTTGAGAAGATCTCTCTTTTTAACTTTGAACCAAAATATCACAAGTTAAAGAAAAAACAATCACAATAAACATTATATTGAAATAGTAATTTTTGGTACTTTCTATTCAATTAATCGGTGTTCAATAATGAAGAGAGGATCAATATGCGATGATTTGGTTCGTTCATTAGTTTGCTAAAAAAATTTAGTCCGTAATATTTTGAAACAAAACTAACATGTGTAGTTCATAGCGTCTTAATAATCTCTAAAAGCATATCGTCACAGCATAGATAAAACTACTTATGCTTTAAATTTTATTTGTAAATYAGCTCGGGAGAATATTAGACTGCAAGCAAAGAAGTTTGTGCAAAAAATAAGCAAAGAAAATTTCCCAAAAAGTTGTGTTTAATCTTAAATTTTGCTTATCAATTTTCTCAGAATCCAAGCAGCTAGCTAGGCTTGATTAGAGTAGAAATTCAAAACCYATGGAGGCGAAAATGGCTGCACCAAGACAAAGGGTGTGAGTGTGTCATTGAAGAAAGTGAATATGTTAAAAACCAGAACGAGGAAGAAGTAATGGTGCTGGAAGTTGAAATTCAAAATCAGACTGTAAGCCATAAAAATGGCCTTTCATCCTCCATGAACCAGCAACCCTTCCGAAAATAGATATTGAAACTTTTTCGTGGATGTAAGAGGTAGAGGAGGGAGAACCATAGAGAGAGAAAGCAATACTATCAGAAGAGGAAGAGGGGGAAAGTATGTTAATTTTTTTTTTTAGGATTTAATTTTTAAAATGGAAAGTCGAGGAATTTTGTTAGTTATGAAAGTTTAGGGGTTTAATTTTTATAATTCAAAGTTTATGAGTACAAGTTTTCCACTTATAAAAGTTTAAGTGTTTAATTTTTACATTTATACAAATTTAAGGGTGAAATTGCAACAATTAAAAGTTTAAGGGTGAAACTATTTTTGCAATTTGCCCTATATTTTTAAATGTATTCTTTTCCTCGTGGGAATTCATGACCATTTCATAGATAATGYTTTAATAAATAATTAAATAAATATAGTCACTCATCAATGCACTTATTCTTGCTTAATTTTCATGGTTATTCTTTGAATTTTCTACGTATATTATTTTTTTAGGGTTTAGGGTCTACGATTTAGGATTTAGAGTTCATGGTTTTATATATTTATAAAAAATATATGAATATGAGTAACTTTGTAATCTTCATTTTCCAGTAGTCTCATTTCTTGTTTTTTTTTTTTGAGAACATACATGTTTGTAATCGATCCCATTTTTTATATCTAAAATTTAAGAAACATTTCCAGAAAATGGTAAAATTTTTGAAACTACAGAAAGTAGTTTTATTCCTCCCATTTTGGTTTTTCTTCCTAGTGAGGAGCGATTTTAGCTTAAATATTATATCTTGTACCCTGTTGGTTAAAATTAAGCTCTAGCRTACTGGTGCAAGTATATGCCCAAATTTCACAACCTCCACTGCTACGAAGTTAGATTCTCATATTAAGCAAATCGTTGTTTATTTTTTCCTTTTTATATTTTCGTAAACATAAATATATTTTCTATTTTTTAAATCTAAAAGTTTTTGAAATTTTTTTCTTTATTTAAGGTTATTATATTTTGAACTAAAAAAAGATCTATTTTTAAATGAAAAATATTTTAAAATTTTACTCTTTATTTAAAGCTAATAATTTATTTAAAAAARTTATATTAAAAATTATATTTTTTTCTTAATGTATTATATTATGCGAGTATATGCTATACCTTTTTATATTATATCTACTAAATTTCATTTTAACTAAAAATAAAAATAAACCAACTTGAGTTAAAGATATATGTAGCTGTTCAAGAGGTCGTGGATTCAAATGCCCAATGTTATATTTTTTAAAAGAAAAGTTATCAAACATTATTTTTTTTTTCTATTTTTTTTCAATAGAAATGGTTATCAAAGGTATTCCTATTTCTAGATTTTAAAAAAAAAATTAGAAACTAGAAACAGGAAATGAGATCAAAATGGAAAACAGTAAACAAGAATGTTACGAAACGAGTCCCTTAAGTTTCACTACAAGAATTTATTGTTTTCCCAACGAAATTATTCCCAACGTTAAAAATATCGTCGGGAGAAGTCAGTTTCTCCCGACGAAAATAAAATCGTGGGAACTTTCCACAAAAACGTTGGCAAAAAGTTTATATTTGCCAACGTTTTCTAAAGAATGTCGGCAAATATTCGATTTCTTCTKACGTTTAACAAAAAACATTGGGAATATGGGCAGATAAATTCAAACACTCCAGAGTTACCTAGTAAATATTTCGATGTTTGAATAGAAACGTGGGGCAAAGATCCCTTTTCCTAACGTTTTTACAAAAACATTGGGAGAATATCACTCATCCCCACGAATTCAATTTCTTCTGACGTTTTATAAAAAACGTTGAGAATATGGGCGGATAAATTGAAACACACCAAAGTTACACAATAAATATTTCGACATTTTAATTAAAACGTGGGGCAAAGATTTCTTCTCCCGACGTTTTTACAAAACGTTGGGAGAAGATCACTCATCCCCACGTTTTATCGAAAACGTGAGAGAAGTAACTTTATCCCAACGTTTTACAAAAACGTTCGAATAACATAATGTATCGCAGCGTTTTATTAAAATATTACAATAAGGAATCTTATACCAACGTTTTGTGTAAAAACGTTGGAATCAGTTCGCGCATCATTTTATTAAAAGCATCAATATATAGGCTATTTCATCCACGTTTTGCAATAAATGTCGGGAATATGGCTTGATAAGTTCAAACATACCAAAATAATGTGTTAAATATTCCGACATTTTAATAAAACGTGAGACAAGTAACCCTTCCCTTGACGTTTTTACAAAAATATTGGGAAAAAAAAGTTATCAAACATTATTTTTTTTAATTTTTTTTTTCAAATAGAAATTGTTATCAAACGTATTCCTGTTTCTAGATTTAAAAAAAATTAGAAACTAGAAACTSGAAATGAGATCKAAATGGATAACAGTAAATMAGAATGTTACGAAACGAGTCCCTTAAGTAATTTCCTTTTTATGGGAGTGAAATGGACATCACACCATAATCAACTCTATTATTTTAAAATTKTAAACCAGTTTCTATATTGTTACATATCAATATATCATTAAATTTACTCTAACTTAAGCTTTTGAGTTGATTGATCATTTAATCATATAAATTAACATCCTATCAGAGTCAGAGGTGTTATGTAATTATATGATTAAATTTATCTTAATCCGACAACTTACCATAAAATTATAAAAGAAACTCAGAATTCATACGACATAGTACATAGAAAGTAACATTACAGATTCAAACGTACATTAATTTTAATACATTACATAACTAAAACTGAGAGTAACGATACATGAGCTAGCGCTTGAGCTAGCGCTTTTATTATTGCAGGACTCACAATTTCAAGTTGAAGTAGAGATGGGAAACCATATAAAATCAGTGAGCGGCATAATATGGCAGATGGGGAAGGTTCCTGGTACGGTGTTGAGCACTTTAAACGAGGGATGTTTTGGGTTCCATTCCGATGYATCCATGTGGCAAACGGCCAGAGCTTGGACCCGGTCTCCATTTTCGCCTTCCATTGGAAATTGCAGCAGCTTAGTGTCTCCAAATCGTGAATGGCAATAGCGAATTACATAAGGATAGCGCAATGCGTGGCAAGCAAAGTACTTAGAGACTTTGATTTCATTAGGCATTTGGAGGAGAGTGTAGTTCTGGAGATTGGTGTGGAATTTGGTGAGAAGGGTAGTGGCAAGATATTTGACACTACTGGACTTGCCTCCAAAGCCCAAGGCAGAGCTAACGAAGTCTACCATGGATTTCATGGAGGTAGTGCAAAACTTGGTCTCTCCTTCGACGGGTTCGCGTTCACATAAACGGAGTGCATTTTCCACAATTTGGGCTTCGGAGGAGTCTGAGGGAAAAGAAAAAAAATTGAGAATTTGAGGGAGTTGTTTGAGTGAAAAAGGGATTGAATCAGCGATTTCTTTGGACAAAGATGGAGTGGTTGAGGGGTCATTTTGATGTAAATAGAATGGGAATTTTTTGCCTAATTTCAAATCATTGATGGTGAAGTAAAGCATGTCCTTCATGTTATGCTCCGTGGGGTTAATCTCTTGAGAACCATGTCCGGTGACCATTCTTATGATTGGATTTTTTAAAGATGTGGGAGATGATCGTTCCATTTTATAGCCAAGTAAAGCATTGTCAGTACTTGATTCAAGCTCAATTGGTTGATGCTCTATATTCTTAATGGAATTTGGTTTTTTCTGAAAGAATGTGGGAGATGATCGTTCCATTTTATAGACAAGTAAAGCATTGTCAGTGCTTGGTTCAAGCTCTATTGGTCGAGGCTCTACAGCTTTAATGGAAGCTGATTTTTTCTGAAAGAATGTGGGAGATGATCGTTCCATTTTATAGCCAAGTAAAGCATTGTCAGTGCTTGGTTCAAGCTCCATTGGTTGAGGCTCTATATTCTTAATGGAAGCTGGTTTTTTCTCAAAGAATGTGGGAGATGATCGTTCCATTTTATAGCCAAGTAA